TACATTATACGAAGTTATACGAATGAATGTGTATAGTTATCTAGTTAAAGGTGTACCACAGTTGTACATATCCATGGGCGCACGCAATCGCATTGCACGAATGCTATTATCGGATACTACTATACACAACATTCTCTTTGTGCTCTCCGTGGCCACATGTCTCTGCCATGAGACTATCATTGATAGAAATGATAGCCACGTGTGCTGTGTCTTCAATCACATCATCTCTTCTGGTGGGTTGTGCGGTGGTCGACATGAGACCCAAATAAGTCAATCGACGAGACTGACGAGCCAAGACTAACCTGCACACATAAGCACAGACCCTTGTCTCACCCTGTCACTGTGTGTTGTGGTTTGTGTTTTGTTGCCTGTCATACAGATGGAGCCCATCCTGCATTTCAGTTGGCGGCCACACCGACACAGTGCAGAGATAGCCGTCAGCACAGGCAATGGCCACGTGTACATGTGGTCTCCCAGGGGCACAGCCGTCATGACGCTGGATATCGATGCAGGTGTGTTACCATGGATACATGTGTCTACTGTGTTGCCATGGATACATGCGTCTACTGTGTTACAATGGAGATATGGGCATGATTGTTACGATGGATACATGCGTCTACAGTGTTAATATGAATACATATGTCTACTGTGGTACCATGGAGATATGGGCATAATTGTTACCATGGATACATGCGTGTACTGTGTTAATATGGAGATATGGGCATGATTGTTACGATGGAGACATGCGTGTACTGTATTACCATGGAGATATGTGCATGATTGTTACCATGGAGACATGCGTGTACTGTGTTATCATGGAGATGTGTGCATGATTGTTACCATGGAGATGTGTGCATGGCTGTTACTATGGAGATGCGTGCATGATTGTTACCATGAAGACATGTGTCTACTGTGTTACCATGGAGATGTGTGCATGATTGTTACCATGGAGACATGTGTCTACTGAGTTACCATGGTGATGTGTGCATGAATGTTACCATGGATACATACGTATTCTTTGATACCATGCAGACACGCGTAGGATATGTTATACCTATCTGCACACATATGTGCTATAATGGACGTTGATGCAGAGGTGAATGAGAGGCAGATGCCTATGTTGTGTTTGAGTCATCTCCGCGCGTGTTTTCGACAGCGGATATCAACGCAGGCGTATGAGATATGCCGAACGTTTTGTTGTCATCTTCAGATGTACAGTTGTGTGAAGTAGACACAGACACGCGCTGCATTCAGAATCAGATACATTAGCTGCATGTGTGCAGTGTGTAAGCTATGTGTTTCTCCTGCGTCTGGTGAGTGACATGTGGTTGCAGGGGTGTGGGGTGTGTGATGGTTATTCGGGGTGGTTGGGCGGTCTATCCATGAGCGCGGATGTGTGATGCGTCGTGTGAGGAAACATCAATAGATATACGGATGTGCGTACGTGTGCAGGGTGTGTGTTGATGCAGGTATGGGGATCACATGCACACTCCGTGTGTGCGTTTATCACTTTCTTCTGTGGGTGTCTGTGCGTCGCTGGCCTTTCTTACTGCGCGAGAGTGTTCACGGCTGTGTGTGGTGCTGTTCCTGCACTGTGCGTGTTCACCGTCTTCGCTCTCTGACACTTGACACTTGACACATACATATGGCACATGTCCTCCGTCGCACATCTGTCCTTCGCATGTTCTGCGATGTTGTATTGGCACGTTTAATGGTTTTACCCCAAAAGGTGTCTGACCACTCACACTCCTCCACCGCAACATATCGCATGAGCAGATGCACGTGGCTTCGCTTGTCGGGCGTTCAACTGGGGCAAAGCAATCCACAGCTCACCCGGTGCAGGCCGAGGAGAAGCACAACAAAGAGATACGAATACACGCAACACAGCAGACGGCAACAAAGCATTGGCCGTGGACGTAGACAGGTTTATTGTGTGTCATCTGCCGCCACCCGACCCAACTGTGGCAGAGGCGAAGGACGACGCACACGACGAGCACGAGCACAACGACGACGACATGAGCGATGGCAGTGAGTGTGTCGAGTACTGAGCCTAGACGTAGTGCACAGAACACACAACAGGGCACATAAAATAGTAGGTTAGGCATGCAGACGAGTGCTAGGATGCGATATAACAAGTGCACCACGAGTGCTACTACAACCATGACATGGAGCGATGGCCGTGAGTGTGTCGAGTACAGATCACACAACAGGACACAGAGAATATTAGGTTATGCATGCAGACGAGTGCTAGGATACAATATAACAAGTGCACCACCAGTGCTACTACAACCATGACATGGAGCGATGGCCGTGAGTGTGTCGAGTACAAAACACACAACAGGACACAGAGAATATTAGGTTAGGTATGGAGGCGAGTGCTAGGATGCGATATAACATGTGCACCACGAGTGCTACTACAACCATGACATGAAGCGACGATGTGCATGTATGGAGCAAAAGGGGATTGTTAACAACAGTCAGGATGTAACACAACAAAATGCCAAACGATGATGAGTGCAACGATAGTCTGTAACAACTACAAAAGGTAATAATATTCTTGTTTGTAATTTGTTAGCGGTTATAAGATATACATACGTATCTATCGTACCTTGACAACGCAGCAAGACTCTCAACTGGAGACTGACCCGGGTTATTTTTAGTCAGTACTCCGTACTATAATAGTCTCAGGAAAAGTAATTAGGGGATGCACTGCTATTTGTACCGATTCAGACTCGTGGCAAATGATGAATACCTGTAATATAAAGTTATAGACAATCTCATTATTTCAACTGCAAGTCCGTTTCGACCAATACATAACGGAGACAGTTTCCCATCTCATAATCAACAACTCACAATTAATATAAACGTCCCCATCATCAATCGCTATGTCTGCAAACCTTCGCCACTTTCACCCAACACCGTCCTGCTGAGATCTCCCCAGTCATCGCCGTCACCGGGTTTGCTGTGGCGCTTTGTGCTGAATCTGTAGTTCGCCCTTGGGGACCTGCTCGTGCACAGTGGACTGTTACTGGTAGACACCCTGAACTAAAAATTCAAGACGATCAACAAACAAAACTTATGACTATGAACCAAGTATATCAGAGGCAGATCCACTCTGAACACAACTAGCGGAAGTATAGGTACAATACGTTGCTTAAGTAAAGACGAATACTACAGAATATGTCAATACGCCATCATCGAAAGACGACACAGATTACTACCAGGAATATTTGTTGCCCAAGCGAAAATGTACAAAGAAAATATATACCCTAAGATACAATACCATTCGTACTAATCTCGACCGACGTTGTATATAGTAATAGAATTAATCTTAGAAGCAAAAAAAATAACTAGAAATTATCGTTTTATGTATTGAACAAATATGTTATATGCTAACGTCCCACTACTGATGTCCAGAGCGTATCGCTCTTTTCAGAAGATTTGTATAGGCATAAATTATATGCAATGGCGTGATTTTTGATCCTGTTCGATTGACAAAGTAAAAATATTGTACCCGGAGAATATATCTGCGACACTCAACTTGGAACATCAAATCAAGTTTGAATTTTGTATTAACCGATTGCATATATACTGTAAAGGGCCTGACAGAACTGTGTATATTCATCACAATATAAAGTATAGATAATGTAATCCTGTATGCGTATTTTAAGCGCAAATTTGTAAGAAATTATATTATAGTAGTCATGCGATGTCTGTTGAAATTATATAGGTTTGTGGATCAGTCATTCTGCAATGAAGTGATCGTTGTGCATATGGAATTACGGTAATAGTATTCTAGTGAAATATGTAGTCGTATCTACAACGAAAAGTCAATATATGTATTAATATGGCATTCTGTTTTGATTATATAACGCCCACTATACATAAGAAAGCTTTAATAACCAACCCCGAAGCTTAGCTGTTATATTTATTGCAACAGTATTCATTCTTGTGTTTAATGTGTTTGTATATTACTTAAAAAGGAACACATACACTTAGTTCGTACCTTAATAAAAGGAAGCTCAATTTCCAATACATGCTTTCCTAGTTCTAGGAGTAATATCTTTGCTCTTTGACTCTCTCCAGGAGTCTAGAGCTAGAAAAAATCAAGCAAAGTAAGCTATGAGTAGTTACATATAAGTTATGAGTACACTAATGTAGTTTTGTTGACCAAAAAAAATATGAAACATACATATGTATGTACAATTGACAGCACTCACTCTGTCTCTCTCTGAAGACTCAGAGAGAGACTTCACTGACACTCCAGCAGTCCAGCTGCAGCTCCAGCCCCAGGGCCAAGGGCTCCCGAGCGAGGATTGAGGAGTCCACCGCGGATGTGGGCGACTGCCGGCACTCCGACAGCGGAGTCGCGGACAGGGCATAGTGCCGACTGGGCAGGGGGCGCTGCACGTATGCTGAGCGGCGAGCGCGCGTTCTCTCTCTCTACTATTGGAGTCTAGTAGAGAGAGAGAGAGAGTAGTAGAGCTTTTAGAGGATTAGTGACCACTGAACCCTGTGCGCTGTGTGCAGTGACAGCGCTTAGTGTGGACACTGACTCACTGATCAGGCACGAAATGAGAATCAATTTTTCATTCAGCGACATTTCGAGACAATCCGATAAAATGCTATAAATACCGACAACTTTTGTATCGTGAACTCCACAAAGCAACTATAAAATGTACAATCACAACAGTATATAAACATCTATCGCCATGTCTGCTAAGGCCTTCACCACCTTCATTCAACACCGTCGTGCTGAGATCTTCCCAGTCATAGCTGTCACCGGGTTTGCTGTTACTCTCTGCGCAGGGTCTGTGATTCGCACGTGGGGACCTGCTCGTGCGCAGTGGACTGTCGCCGGCCGACACCCCGAGCTTCAAATTCTAGACGGTCAGCAAACGAAGTTAATGACCGTAAACCAAGTATACCAAAGGTGACCTGGCTCTATGCAGGACGATGGTTATAAAGTGTATCGTCGAAAGCCAAGCACGACCAAATTATTCAATATTCCTTAGATAATCTATTAAACTTCTTTATTCGATCACCATCACTTTTTATTCTGGCAATTGAATCGAGCAGGAATAAACGAATAAAAACACACCATCCTTTTTACGTAAGCACATGTCCTTACGAGTGCCTGTTTATATGTAGCACATATCCTAGTACTTAGATGTGAATGTAACCACCACTCGCAAACCCGCTACTAGCTTTGTTCAGCCAAATCCGCAGCAAGGTTGTGTACAGTGTTACCACAAACGTAATAGAGCATAAATGATTTCAAGCTTTATACTTGTTGAGCGACTACAATTGAATTCTTCGTAGCATGGGCGCGTTTAGTATGTGAGAATCAGGCTAAGCCAACAAGCACGCCGTTGCAAGTGACACAAACACGCTGTTGAAAGCGATCCGTTAGTTTCGGCTTAGGTTCAGTATGTGACTATCAGTTTAAGCCGACAGACATGCCATTGCACATGACAAGACTGGCGCGGCTAATAGAGCGGAGTAAGTCCTTTGGTTTCAATGCTGGAAAAGCACTGAAACACGAGAATAGTCGAAAATCGAGTCAGCTGAAAGCAGTAAAAACATAATCATATCAAGGACCATGTCAAGGAATATTGGGTTGCAATTGATCTGTATATATGCATATATATTTAGTGATAGTAAGTATTTTTGCACTTAGCATATACACATGCATATATATACTAACATACACGTTTATACACAAGCAACCGTCATAGTATAAAACGCATAGGCTCACAACACTATCTCGTAATATTATGCACCAGTTGATTAGCGTTACGTCAGTTGCATTAGGTAACATCTGCACTGTCTATATTTGCATAAAAGTTGGCCATCGTTGGCACTGTCTATATTTGCATAAAAGTTGGCCTTTGTTGGCACTGTCTATATTTGCATAAAAGTTGGCCATTGTTGGCACTGTCTATATTTGCATAAAAGTTGGCCATTGTTGAGTATGTAACACAGCGTGGATTCCGGACATCAACTACAGTGTTATCGAACTAAGATCAACTATAGTGATATGGAACAGAGAAAGCTATAGTGTGTGATGTGGAAGTAAGATCAAACTGTGGTCTGGAATTCTAAGATCTACTATAGTGATATAGGACCAAAAAAGTTTCAGTGTGCGATATGGATATAGTATTACCTATAGTGATATGTATCTAGGACTAACTGTAGTTTTTAGAACTAAGATCAACAATAGTAGTATGAAACTGAGAACGATTAAGTGATATGGAACTGTGAAGACCAATTATAGTAGATCAACTGTATTGACATAGAACTAAGATCAACTACAGTGACGTTGAACTAAAATCATCAGGTATATGAAACAAAGATCATCTATAGTTAAATGGCACTAAGATTGATTATAGTGACATTGAACCAAGATCAACTATAGTGACATTGAACTAAAATCATCTATACTTATATGGTACTAAGATCAACTATAGTGACATGTAATTTAGATCAACTATAGTGACATTGAACTAAAATCAACTATAGTGATACGTAAGTAAAACAAACTACAATCATATGGAACTAAGATCATCTATAGTTCTATAGAGCTAAAATCAACTATAGTGATATGGAACTGAATTCAATTATAGCAATATCAAACTTAAAGATTAAGTATAGTAATATGAAACTAAGATTATGGTATGGTGCTTTGAAACTAAGATCTACGATAGTATTATGACACTTAGATCAAATATATTAATATGGAACTAAGATTAACTATGGTATGTTGATATGGAACTAAGATCAGCGATAGTATTATGAAGCTTAGATCAAATATAGTAATATGGTACTAAGATTAAGTATGTTGATATGGAACTAAGATCCACTATACTGATTGAACCTACACGCAGTGTAAATTCGCAAGGGCCAGGTCATACACAGGTGGGACTCATCAACAAGTACACACGTACATATGTACACTGGCCATTGTTAATGAGACGTGTAACAGAAACACTGTAGGTAGGTGGCGTGTGAGTATACGTCACAGTGTTCGTTCAGCAACAAATGGAGCTTATCCTCAGCCCGGGTCAGTTGTCTAAATTAGTTTATTTATGTATTTTTTTTCTAGTCAAACCAGTGAGTTGCCGTATACTGTTAGTCTACTGTGGATGAGTCCAACCATTTAAACCAGAGTTTAACTCTGTTACCGTAAGTTAAAATATAGAGCTGTTGTGTTAGAATAGGTTAAAACAGAGAGCTGTCAGCTGTTAGTCGTCTCCAGCGCCAAATTCGATGCGCTTTGAAATGGCCTCTCGCACGGGGGTGATCGATGTGTCGGCCAGATTGCGCTTAGTGTCGCGGAAGTCAGGGCTCCTATTCTCACGGCTGCGGTGGAATGGTATTCATGTGAGGCTTAGCTACAGAAAACAATCACAGACACGGTGTGCATGTAAAACCCTAAAACCCTAACCCTGGCATGTGGTGAAGTTACATGTTGCTGTGGGAAGACAAGCTCAGAGGTACTCTGGCGCACGTACTGCTGAGGCGAAGCAGAAAGACACGTAATCGCTCAACAAACAGAAAATAGACAATTAGAGGTTTGTGACAGCAAATAGACAATTAAAAAGGACAGTGACACGACACAACACGTCACGGCCACAACGCCAACTACATGCGCACATATGGGTTTCACAGCCACAACCACACAGGCGAGCGTAACGAGTGTGAGATTAGGGCGGGCACCACAGGTTGATCCGAGCGATAGCGATCAAGCGCCACTTAAGCCTACGGTATCGTTCGGAGTGTTGTTACAGCTGCGACTGGTCTACAGATGCACAGCAGAAGGAATCGTGTACAAAAGACCTTTCGACGTGCTGTGCTCATCCACAGGATACGAAACATCACAGTAGGAGACTGAGGGTGATATGAGGCAAGGCCACGAACACGTGCACACAATGGGATAGTCCACACAGTATATTAAACACAAAACACGAACACGTGCATACAATGGGATAGTCCACACAGTCTATTAAACACCAAAAACTACAGAGACACACATTGCGCCAACGGAAAGACGAGCACACAAACATACGAACAATTGAATATGGCCACTGTTGGCGATTTACGATCAGCCACTCGATATACCGCCACAACACAGGACACAGACACAGACACAGACATTGGCACAGACAATACACGACACACACACACTCGCAATAATACCCAGAGGTGGCGTACGTGGTGCTCATGGACAGTCGCTGCATGGTGTTGTGCAGCGCGTGTGTCTCTTCTTCTGCGGCGGTGTTGTGTGTGTCGTCGCACTCGGCCGTTGGTTCGGGTGACATCGGCCGTTGACTATAGAACTCCAACATGAGCTTATCCAGTGTCTGTGTGTGTGGGGGGGGAGGGGGGGATGAGGGAGATGACATACATATGAGAAGTCCTTCAATGTACAGGTCAGTGCAGCCCAGGCATGCGTGCCTGTGGTGGTATATGCACATCCCTGCAGGACGACGAGCATTTGTTCCTTGTGAGACACAGGTGTGTGCGAAAAGTGGGAATAGCCCTAAGAAGACATGCAGGAATGTGAACAGAGTAATGGATAGCCCTGACAAGACCTGTAGGCACGTGAACAGAGTAGTGGGCCTATACTGGACATGTGCACGATGAACGGCACGCAGCACTTGAACTCAGCGGTAACGCAGTCCAACAATCGGAAGGTGTGCTCCAGAACACACACACTCCGAACATACAGTATATAGCACAGTTGAAAGCGTTTATCTCAACCCTAAACCCTAGAATCTAGACCATAAAACCCTAAAACCCTCCATATCAATCACAAGCCACAACGCGCACTGAGACGACCATACGCACATCAAACACAAAGTGAACCATACCGCAGGAAGACGCAATGGACACTGCACTTAAACCGAAAAGTACAGCGCGCAGGCATTATAACTTGTTCTATCGAATAAAAAATCTGGGGCATCGTCTATCGCACACATTGCAACTGGCCATCCCAGTCAGGGGCATACGCCCACCTCCCCACAAACTGCATCCAAAAAATACAAATCCTGGTGTCATACGGCCCTGCCCTGTCCTGTACAGGTGCGGTGGGCCTCTCCTGCACATACTTTGGGTCGCGTGAGTGGGCGTGCCAAGAGATCGTCGTACACGTGTACGTCCACGTGAGGGGGGGCTGTGTTTGTGCGCAGGGCGGCTGTGGTGTGTCGCACTGCTGAAACAGACTCTTCTGTGGCATCCAGCACACTCCTGGGGAGAGAAAGGAAGGTGGGTGTGTGGGCGATGGTCTGTATCTTTGCCCAACAGCATATTATATATGAATATCTGTATGCACAGTACACACACACACACACACCCATATATGTATATATATATACATACAGATATATATGCTACTATACACATCATTATATGTGATATGCGTGAAAAAGAGTTTGTTATCTATCCATAAGCTGCACATACATAATTAAAGCAGAGACACTGCCTGACACAGCGACACACCACATAACACAACACTCAACGCAACAAGTACTACACTACATATCAGTCCGAAATAAGACAACTCATATCCATCAGATGCGCTATACCGGATGTGAGTGGTGACGGTGTCAGTGAGGGCCTCCACGTGCGTGTCATAGTGCTGTCGGTGAGTGGACAGCGCATCTTTGGCTGTCGCCAGCTCATCCTGTTGTATTGAAGATACACAATCGTTAGTGTACTTATAAAGTGATCATATAAGCGAATGTAGGTCCATGCAGACACACACGCATACATACACACAATATATATATATATATATATATATATACAAATATATATACACACACACACACACATATATATATATATATATATATACATACATATATGTATATGTATATATACATATATATATATATATATATATATATATAGACATCCACTCATATACATAACAAATACACAGTGTGTGCATGTGTGAGAGGATTAGTTTTCGCTCTGAGTGGTAGGTAAAATCATCAGCACCTGCACTGCACTTATTGACACGTGACACCACACACCTTGACACCGACAATCTGTTGGCCCACTTCTTTTGATAGGGATTCGGTATGTTCCGATAACGCCCGAAGACCAGTCGATACTAGTCCATATTTGAAAGTAATCAAGACAGGCGAGATGAGAAAGGTGCGGGTCAATAAGGCGTATCTTGTGCTATTCGACACCAGTCCACAAATACATATTGATGGCCACATGTATGGGTTTGGAGCCGAAAGAATATCACATGCGCTAGTCTTTCAGGGGTTCGAGGGCTTTTTTTAGTAAAATCCTAAAATAGGGTAGCGTGCACCGAATGGTGGAGAAGTCCATAATTGAGGATTAGACAGGACAGTCTGGCAAACGGGACACACTCGGCCCAAACAACCGGCCCAAGTGTAGCGCAGTGGGACAAGAGCAGGACACAGCGTTTAAACCCTAAACCCTAAACCGTAAAACAGTACACCAAAACCCTAAACCCTATGAGCAGTACGCAGCTTTAAAACCCAAAACCCTAAACTGTAAAACAGTACACCAAAACCCAAAACCGATTTTAGGGTTTAGGGTTTGGTTTTAGGGTACCCTTAAAATAGATAGCCCAGTTCGCCCTCCCCTGAAAAGCAGGGTCACGGGAACTGCCAACACCTGCCGGTAGCTACAAAGTCCACCCCGGACTATAGCAATAGCGTGTAAACAAATAAAGATTCCTAAACCTTAAACCGTAAAACAGTACACCAAAACTCTAAACCCTATGAGCAGTACGCAGCTTTAAAACCCTAAAACCTAATCCGTAAAACAGGACACCAAACGCTGCGGTTGCGTTATACAGTCACAAGTCAATGCATGTGGTGGACACAAAGACACAACACAACTCAAGACAACACAACACAGTCACACATAATCTCATTCATCACAAGCCAATGCATGGCCAAAGTCACTTTAACAAGTGGACACAAAGACAATACAACTCAAGGCAACACAACACAGTCACACATAATCTCACTCATCACAAGCCAATGCATTGCTAAAGTCACTTTAACAAGAGGACACACTGTTTATTGCCTGCCAATAAGTTGAACCACTCAAAAAAAAGTTCTGTGACTGTTAATTTCACTACCAATACAACTCAAGGCAACACAACACAGTCACACATAATCTCACTCATCACAAGCCAATGCATTGCTAAAGTCACTTTAACAAGAGGACACAAAGACACCACAACACAACACAGTTACACATAATCTCACACATCACAAGTCAACGCATTGCCAGAATGTAGTGTAGTCAGCTGAGTATTGAATGAGATGAGTTCCTTTGACAGATATACAGACACTTATGGAGAGCCTTACCCGCGAACACTGGCCGTCACAACCCCAGCCAAACCTTACAACCCTACATATTAAATACATACATGCATATACATATACATATACGACTTAAACATATAACATAAATATCCGTACATGCATATACATTTACATATACAACAAACATACATATCCGTACATGCACATCCATAAGGTAACAACCATAGGGCCGTGTTGTGTGATGATACCTGTGTCATTGACAGCCGCTTTGCCTTTAGTGATCTCGTGAGCGAGTGCCTCCAATTCAGAAGTGATAGTCGCGTCACTATTCGATGACACACTTTGTATCCTGTAAGGCGTGTAGGTAAGAGTGTGAGTATGTGCATGTAGGTAAGAGTGTGAGTATGTGCACTACGCACACACAGGTGGACATGTGACCGTAGCGGCCGTTGCCTTTTGCAAATATCGACATACATACAAATGAAAACAAAAACAAATATATATATATATATATATATATATATATATTACTATACAAGACACACACACACAACATAACACCACACACACACACACACATATATATATAATATAATAATAGTATAATAATTTTATGATATAATAATATGTTATAATAATATAATAATATATACATATATATACTCACTTCTACTTCTATTCATTGACCACCTAGGCACACGCAATACAATATACAACATATTTACACCACCAACACACTTAACTACCATACATACACCCATTTCCCCACAGTACATACTCTGTGAGCTTGGTCTGTGCGGTTATGGTGGTGTGTGCTTCTGCTTGTAGGTGTGGTGTGGTAGCATTGCCCAACTCTTCACAGCCCTCGCGTAGGCTGTCCGTTTGCATCAGCGCATCTTCTTTCGCATCCTACACAGCACACGGCGGTGTATAGGGTTTAGGGTTTCGGATGAGTCAGCTTAGGATTTTAGGGAAGAAGGAAATATTTATAGATGTACCGTGACAAGAGCCATTTAAGGACGAACATTCAACAAAGAGCTATAATAGGATATCTGTACTATTTATAGAATCTTTGTGCTATTTATAGATGCTCTGGACTACTGAAATGTTGCCATAGGCTGTGGTGCACTGGTCGATACCACACACTGATCATTTACAGATGAATCGAATACACGAGCTATATATAGGGCGTCTGTGCTATTATAGAACCACTCTGCTGATTATAGATACTCTGTGCTATTTATAGGACCTCTGTGCCATTTATAGAACTTTTGTGCTATTTATAGAGCTTCTGTGCTATTTATAGACGCTCTGGACTTACCGCAATCATGTTGCCGTAGGCTGTGGTACATTGGTCGATGCCGCGTACCACTGCGTATAATCGTTCGCGAGTTCGACGCTGCGACTGCTCAGCGGCGGTCTGTGGAAGACATGAGAGATTATCAGATGAATAGGATAACGATAACGATGGATAAGAAGCATATGTGTAGGTAGGATAATGGGTAATCAATGGGAATGAAGGATATGTGTAGATAGAATAATCCTAAACCTTAAAACACACACACACACACGCACACGAACACGCACACACACACACACACACACACACACACACACACACTCACTCACACATGCGTGAGGGTTGTGCATGTGTCCATGCCCTGGATGATATATATATATACGCATATACACCTATATACATGCACGCATACACACACCTGCGTGAGGGTTCTGCATGTGTCCATGCCCTGGGTGACTGCTGCTATGAGAGTTGTTTGCAGTTGTTGGTAGTGTGCGTGTTGTGTTGCGTTGTCATTGGCAGATTCTGTGGTGTGGCGTGCGATGTGGTCCGTCACCTTCTGCCGCTCAGCCGCAAGCATGCGATCTGTGCACGACAATATATGAGTGTGTAAGTGAAGGTGTACAAGCACACATTCACATGTTATATTTATATAGAGTATATACATCGCAGTATACATATACTTATGACATCGATGCACGTGTATATCGAGAGATGTATACAAAGTAGTATATGATACATATTACAACCATATACGTTTACGTATACATATATATATACATACATTTAAATATACGAGGTCTTATGCGTTTGTGCGCATCCGTGTGTGTGCTAGGGTTTCATCATCAGATGGTGTGTAGGTAATGTGAGACAGCGAAGACTTGATTTACGGCCACGCGAGCACTCAGAATGCGATGACAACTCCTTCGCATCTGGAGTGTGTTACTTGCACCTGTATCTTACTTTTGGACCATTTGTCCACCTACATGCACCCAAATACCGTACCAACAGGACAGCACCCGTTCACACTGCCCTCCGCACCTACCCAAATCCTGGTTTAGGGCCACAAACTGGTCGACCTGTGCTGCGCCAAAGTGCACCACCGCATTGCCCAGTTGTGTGGCCTGGTGTTCGATGGTCTCTCGTAACTTCTCTGCCTGGTTCTGCGCCACACGAATGCGCGTGTAAGTAGAGGTGCGGGCGAATGCTTGAGTATAGTGTGTGCGTAGAGTTGTATGAGTCTGCATTGGTGTGCATTGGTGTGCATGTGTGTGCATGTGTGTGCATGTATTTGCATGTATGTGCATGTATGTGCATGTATGTGCATGTATGTGCATGTATGTGCATGTATGTGCATGTGTGTGTATGTGTGTGCATGTATGCGCATGTATGTGATGTATGTGCATTTTTCCATTTACGTACATGTGTACGTACACGCTACTGCATAGCCCTGTACGAAGGTGTGTACGTGTGCATACACATGTGTTTGTATTAGTGTGCGCATGCGTATGTGTAAGTGTGTGAAAGTAGCAAGGCAAGTGCGGGGTTAGTTTAAGCACTAAACCCTAGCGCATGCGCACATACCCCTCTGTCATTGAGCATGTCGTGGATGCCCTTGAGTAGTGACTCGATGTCTTGGGCGACTGATTTGGAAAGGGCCTGAGCAGATGAACGAAGAAGCACAGCACAACATGAGCAACCAAAGGGACAGTAACTGTAACAACCAGTGCAGTGAGAAGTACCCGATAATCCCAAAACCAGTGCAGTGGGAAGAAGAACACTAGGACTTGCTAGGGACGTATCAGTGGCCAATTAGTGGTCACTTAGTCGCGAATTGGTGATCAATTAGTGGTTATTTAGTGGATACTTAGTGGCCTACTAGTGTTGAATTAGTCTCCAATTAGTGGGGTGGTCTTCTGTGTGGTGATGTGTGGCTTATACTATATGTCTGAGTGTATTGCAGTTTGTGACAGCTCACGCATACGCGAACACATACTCCCGCTACCGAAACACCTTAAACCCCTAAACCTTGAATTTTAAACCCGTACCGGTACATAAAACAACACAAAAGGTATAGGAAGCGCAATTCAAACACTTCACTACACATGTGTTACAAGCACATATACGCATAACCACCGTCACGCGAATATGTGCTAATAGGTGCACACTACGCACCCATACCAACACACACATGTACATACAAACACACACCTAAAAAATGCACACACACACACACACAGACACACACACATATACACAATATACATATATAATTACAAATATATACATAGACACATACATGTACACTTACACAAAAACATGGATAAACCTATATACACAGAAGCACAGATACACACATACGTACCGTGACACGTTCGAGGGCGTTGTGGTGCTGGGTGGGGTCGCTTGCGTGTGCAATGGCTGTGAGGGTGTCTGTGAGGTGTGTGCTCATGAGCTGCACCTGCGCTGTCAGTGAGTGCTCAGTCGTCTGTAGCCCATTGGCCATGGCATCGTATTGTTGCGCCTGTCCAAGCCACCCATGTGCGTGCACCGGGTGTCAAGAGAAAGGTGTCACGTGTCAGATGTCAAATGTCAAGTGATGTCAAATGTCAAGTGATGTCAGGTGTCAAATGTCATGTGTCTGGGTAACACTGTATGGTAGTACATATACCAGCCATGAAAAGTGTTGAAAAGGGATTACGTTTGCAGACTAGTTGTCACATCCGACCTATCGCACCTACAATGGGTGCATGCACATAACCACGAGAGTGCACCTGTCATATGTTAAATGGGTGCATGTACATGACCACGAGAGTGTACCTGTCATGTGTTAAATGGGTGCATGCACATGACCACGAGAGTGCACCTGTCATGTGTTAAATGGGTGCATGCGCATAACCACGAGAGTGCACCTGTCATGTGTTCAATGGGTACATGCACATAACCACGAGAGTGCACCTGTCATGTGTTAAATGGGTGCATGTACATAACCATGGGAGTTCAATTGTCATGTGTATTGAGAATAGCGCTCACAAAGAGTTTTGCTTTTGATAGCCATGCGATGTGCCACAGCTTTAGGGCACCCCATAGCACCATGTACGCCCATCCACAGAACACGCATTCATATGCACGCCAACCATAGATCAAATAACACACCTCAGTCTCGATATGGTCCAATAGGAATGTCTTAAATGCATCCAACGAGTGCTTTTGATTGGCGGAGAAGTCTCGTGTGCTGTTGCTGAGGGTGTCACACACGCCAGTCAACTGCACCTCCAAATCTCGGGCGCCTTTGCAATTGCTCGTCTGTGAAAACAAAACACAACAACCAACGACACAAACAACACAGATGAGTTGAGTGGCTTGCGCACAGATTTCGACCTACTTATAAGTCTCGTAATGTCTACCTACATAATAATCTCTTAATGTCTACCTACACACAGGCAAACTCTTTCAATACGTGGACTGGATATTCAATATAATAAACGAAGCCATACAACACCTATTTACAGCCACATATATCTATCCAAACATGACTATCCATCCATGACATCAGCCAATGTTTAAGTATGGAATCATGCCATCTCACACAACACAATGAGTAAGTATGAAATATGCCATCTTACATAACACAAGGTGTAAACATGTAACAACAAGCCATCAATACACTATGCCCATCCTGTAGTGGCTAAGTCATGTGTGCTGGGTGAACAGATGTGATATTCTATGTCTACCCACTTTATTCCTACCTACTACCGCATACCTGAGCCGTGTCTGCGTCGCGTGCGTAAGTGGACAGGTGAGTGACTTGGGCTGTGAGGTGTGTGATGACGTCTTTAAGCTCTGCCGCTTCACGATATAGCAGATCCTCTTCTTTGCGCCGTTCCTCAATAATATAGGCCTGTCATGAGATACAAGCATATGCACACACACTTGATTAATCAATACGTGCACATGTCACATGATACACATCCATGCACGTGCCCTCATGCGTAATACGCATGCATGCACATGTCATTATGTGTAATACATATGCATGCACATGTCATTATGTGTAATACGCATGCATACACATGTCATTATGTGTAATACGCATGCATGCACATGTCATTATGTGTAACACGCATGCATGCACATGTTTTCATGTGTAATACGCATGCATGCACATGTCATTATGTGTAATAGGTATGCATGCACATGTCACTATGTGTAATCCGAATGCATGCAAATTTCTACATGTGTAATACGCATGCATGCACATGTCCTCATGTGTAATACGCATGTATGCCATGTCATCATGTGTAATACGCATTCATGCACATGTCACTATGTGTAATACGCATGCATGCACATGACATTATGTGTAATACGCATGCATACACATGTCATTATGTGTAATACGCATGCATGCACCCGTCCTCATGTGTAATATGCATGCATGCCTATGTCCTCATGTGTGAAAAGCATGTATGCCATGTCATCATGTGTAATACGCATTAATGCACATGCCATTATGTGTAATACGCATGCATGCCTATGTCCTCATGTGTGAAACGCATGTAAGCCATGTCATCATGTGAAATAGCATTCATGCACTTGTCAATATGTGTGATACGCATACATGCACATGTCCTCGTGTGATACGCATGCATGCACATGTCATTATGCGTGAAACACATGCATGCACATGCCCTCATGTATAATACGCATGCATGCCTATGTCTTCATGTGTGAAACGCATGTGTGCCATGTCATCATGTGTAATACGCATTCATGTACTTGTTAATAAATGTAGTACGCATGCATGCACA